TGCCTGTTCTCTGAGGCCACTTCCCTCCTTCCTTGGTGCTCACCTGCTTCTGCTTTTAGAGCAAGGGATGAGCTCCCTCCCCAGCCCTCCTCTCACTTGGCTGAACATGCCCAAGGCCCCTCAGATGAGCTCTTCAGTCTGGAGGTTGTCCTCGGGGTCTGGCTCTGCCCTGTTGCTCTCCCAGTTTATGTTCCCGGAGCAGAGCTGATGGGAATAGTGGGCATTCCCGCGTCTAAACAGAGCCAACCTTCACCTGTCCCTGCCCTGGAGCAGAGTTCTGCTTCCCCTTCATGAGCCTTTGCATGGTCCCAGCCAGACCCTTCTGCTTCTCGGAGGTGCAGCAGCATCTCCAAAAGGGCTTTCCGGTCTGTTATGTGGGAAACCTGGCTCTGATTAGGGCCTTGCCTTTAGCATGTGCAGGTTCAGGCTCTACCAACTGGTGTAAGGAAGGGCTCCTCACTGCCTGCCATGGCTTTAGAGACGAGAGCAGAGCTCCTCCACCTTTCTCCAAAGCAGCTGATCTCGACCCCTGCCAGACTCTGGGGCATGAACTGGATGATCCCCAGAGGGACCTGTCCTGGCAGTTCCCACATAGGGCCAGCAGCACTGGATGGCCTCTCTCGGCTGGACACTTCCTGAATGCTGGAAGTGCTGAATGCTGGGGATGCACTCCTATTGCTAATTAAGGTGAATAAAAGTGTGCAGATAGGCAGTGTAAATACATAAGCCTTTAAAAGCAGAACTGTCAAATAAAGTGTTACACTCCATCAGCTCCTATTGCCTGCACTGGCTGAACATCACCAGACGCTTGGATAACGCTCCGATCTGCTCATGGATGCGTTTGACATCCATGCAGGAGAAATACACATTCTATGATGAATAAAAAGAGTCAGAGCCCAGGCAGCAGGCATTTAAAGCTAAACCATTTGTTTTAGAGGGCTTTACATCCAGGCTGTAAAATTTCCTCTGGGCTGGAAGCTGGTGCCTGAGAAGAAATAGTCTCTCTGTTATGTATGATTTGCTGCAAATCCTATTAGTCTTCTGTGCAGCATGTCACAGGAGAAGAGACACAGGGATGTCAGACCAGGGCGTTTTGCTAAGCACTGCAGTTCAGATGTGTGCTCAGTGTAAGAAAGACCAAAGCACTGTGACTCTTCATTAAATGGTGTCTGTTTTGAGGGTTATCTTATAGTTTTGGAACCGAAAATGATCTCTTGGGTTTTATTTTTATGTGATATTGGGAGAGTTTAGAGCAGGCTTGTTGATGCCAGCAGACTCTCTGTGGGTTCTACAATTTGGAATACATGTGTTTCCATGTCTGAGGAGGGCTCATCTCTCTCAAGGTAGACTTAGGCATAACAATAATACGTGTTGTATATGTGAAAACTCATGCATATGTGAAAGGACAGATACATGAGCTAAGCAGAGCAAACCCATTCTATGCAGGGCTTCCCGTGGATGCCAGTCTGTCCCCACCTGAGGATGTCACCCCCAGTCCTGCACATGTGCCCCCTCCCTGCTCCATGACCCAAACTTCAGCTACTCGGGGTTTTCATTTAAGGTTCAGTTCTAGTTGCTGAACCTGCAGCACCCGCTGTGCTCCCCTGCGCCCTGGTGGGCCCCACAGAGCCCCAAGGACACCTCAGGCAAACCCCTGCCACCAGCCCAGTTCTGGAGCCTCCTCTGGGCACCGAGCAGGGCAGGAAGCTTGGGAGGGGATGTGAGGATTCACTCCTGTCAGCTCCAGTTAGTCCCCAAACGTTCACATTACCGTAATGCAGTTGAAAAGGAGTTACAGGAAATGATTTAGAGGACACAAGACACTGCATTTCAGAGGTCTCATGTGTGCCATAAAAAATATATTATGAAGGAATAATCTCTCTTGGAACTGGCGCTGCACAGAGAGAACACATGTCCAGCTGAGAGCAGCATTGAGCTTTTGTTCATTATGGGAAAGCCTGTGCTTTCTCTTCTTCAATGAATGTTTTTCCCAGCTCTGGGAATGGAGTTCATATTGGAACTTAATTTTTTTCTTCAGACGATGCTTTTGGCGTAATCGCAGCACAGCTGAGACTCCAGTGGCACGGTGCCTGGGGCAGTTCACAGTCCCGAGGGATATGGGTCAGATGAAGAGTAAAGTCAGGGCCCTGCATTTTTGGAATGTGAACTGCCAGGAGCCAGGCAATGGAACCCCCTCAGGGACAGGGGAGCAGAACAGAGCAGGCAGAGCATTAAGGACACTTTCTGTGGAACATAAGAGCTCTTGATGCCCAGGTGTAAGAAATCAGGAAGGGAAGGCAAGAGACGGACCTGGAGTCAAAAATAAACGGCAGGAATGAAATGTACAGGCCGTGGTAGCAGGAACAGGTATCCTGGGAAGAGCATAGGGACACTGGCTGGCTGTTCAGGGATGTGGTCAGGGATGCCAAGGCACTGCTGGAGCTGAACTTGCAATGGATGCAGATAATAATGAGAAGGGCTTCTATAGGTGTGTCAGTTAGAGAAGGAAGGTCAGAGAAAATGCATCCCCTCAATGAGCCAGCCTGGCAAACTGGTGACAATGGATGGGGAGAAGGCTGAGGTACTCAGCAACATCTTCCTGTCAGGCCTCTCATTCCACAGCTCTCAAGTGGATGGACTGCAAGACAGGCACTGGGGGAGCAAAGTCCCTCCTGCTGTAAGAGATCAGGTTTGAGATCCGTGATCTTCCCAGAGCCAGGGGGAACTGGCTGATGTATCTGCCAAGCCTCTCTCCATCATATCTGGTAAGTCCTGGCAGTCAGGTGAACTCCCCTGGGACTGGAAAGGGGGGAACACTGCACCCCTTTTTATAAAAGCTAGAAAGGAGGACCCTGGGAACATGTCATCCTCAGTGCTGTGCCTGGGAAGATCATGGAGCAGGTCCTCCTAGAGAATACCCTCATCAGTGGCACAAACAGCGGGATCAAGTGCACCCTATTCTCTCTCCCCCTCTGCTGTACTCCAAGGAGAACCCCCTGCAGTCCTGATCCAGCTCTGGGCACCAACACAAAAGGGATGTGGAGCTGTTGGAGCGAGTCCAGAGGAGGCCACAGAGATGCTGTGAGGGCTGGAGCAGCTCTGCTCTGGAGCCAGGCTGAGAGAGCTGGGCTGGGTCAGCCTGGAGGAGAGAAGGCTCCTGAAGGAGAGACCTTACAGTGCCCTTTCAGTATTTCCAACCCAAGCCATTGTATGAGTTTATGCTCCCCCTGAGGTTCATACAGCAACAGGGACATTTGGAGCAATCTCTGGACTTCCCCCATGAAATCTAGGCCATGGCTCATCAGCGGGGGGTGTATGATGGAGCTCTGCCAGCTTCCTCCCACCCAGCCCTTGCCCAGAGCACCTCTGCATGACGGGATGCACAGCTCTGCAGTTTCCCAAAGCAGAGAAGGGTCACAGCCTCCAAATACTCCAGCTCACCAGTGCTCACAGCCACACAAAGCTGTAAACGTACGCTGCACTTTTCCAGTGCCTGCTCAGGAGCCCAGCAGTGGCCCTCACACACATTAACAGGCAGCTCTGCAGCTTCTGCCATGAGGATCAGGTGCTGGCTTTTTGGGTGATCTGCAGCATTCAAATGCTGGTGGTTTGGGGGCAGGAGTTCAGGTGCAGAAGATGAGGTTGCTGCTGGTTTAATTGAGAGGGCATTAGCAATGGCTGTGCTCCTCAATTCCTCTCTGTACTACAGCAACGCCAGCACTGGTCTGCTGCAGGGGGGACCGCGATGGCCAGGATGCCAAGAGCTGTGATGTGCCCCAGTGCCACAGGGCAAAACCTATGAGGAAGAGACTCCTGGGAGATCCCAGAATGAGGGAGAGGAGGAAGCTGAGAGACACTAAAGCATTTCTTCCCTTCATAAAAATCCTTCCAAAAGCCAAAGCTGAGAACTGGAGGTGGGAAGTGCCAGAAATGTGGAGCTGAGAAGAGGTAGTGGCTGCTCCAGAAAAACTGTGAGGAGGGAGACTCTCAGCCCCAGCCTGCACCACTAAGGCTGGGCATGAAGCTCCTGGAAGAGCAGCTTGTGAAGGCGTAATTGGTCTCACCTACTAGTGCAGATCCTGGCACCTAAACTATGAACCCCCCTTGCTGCAAATGGCCCTTAGCTCCACCGTACCAGCAAAGAAGCTGCTTCCTGCCCCTGCCCACGGTCTGCCACCTCTCCCCAGGCTCCCAGGAGACAGCAGGCTCCCTGCGGAACCTCTCCACGCTGCTCCTGGGTCTCAGAGGGCTACAGACAGGAGACCTTGCTGCAAGGGGCTGTCCCAGAGGACCTGTCTGGACGTTCCCCTGGGGGAGCTGGAGGATTTCCGCAGGAGCCATGGGCGGGGGGCAGTGGGCTGGGAGGGTGGTGATACAGAATGCACTGGGGGAAGCAGAGGGGAGCAGGGCAGGACAAGGGGCCAAGGAGCTAGCTGTAGCGCGGTGGTTTCTGCTGAGGGAAGGGAGCGGAGTTGGTAGAGGCCATGGGCGCTGCCTCCCGCCCTGGCCCGCACCCTCCCTGCTGCCGGGAGCGCTGGCAGGGGAGGACGTGGCACCGCTGCTGGGTCTGCGGGGCGCGGGCTCTGCCCCGGAGAACCGGGGAGCAGCGGGGCTGCAGCGCGCAGGGGGTTGCCCTGCCCAGCCTGGCGCTGCCGTGCCCGGGGCCGCCCGCGGGGCCCCGCGCTCCCGGGCCCCGCCGCTGCTGTCAGCGGTGCTGAATGGGCGCTGTCCGCGGTGTCGAACGGCAGCGGCGCTCGGCGGCCCCAGCGCGCTCCCCGCGCTCTCGGCGGCGGCGGGGGCGGGTCCTGCCCTCCCCTCCCCTTCCTCCCTCCCTCCTCTTCCTCCTCTCCCCGCGCCGGCAGCTCGCTCTCCCGCCTCGCACCCGGCACAAAGTTTAGCAGCAGGAACTCGGGCGGGAGCGGTGCGGAGCCGGCGGCACCGGAGCGCAGCCGCGCTGAGCCCAGGCCGCCCCGGTGCCCGGCGGGGGCCGGCGGCGACCGTGCCATGCGGGGCTCCCCCTCCCCACCGGCGGCGGCGGGGCGGGAGGGCAGCGGCGCCCCATGCGGCGGGGGCGGCCGGGCGGCGGCTGACACCATGTGCGCCCGGTGCCCGGGGCGAGGAGCGGGGAGTAGCCATGGCCCCCCCCGCCGCCCAGCCGGGGGTGCCGGGCGGGCGCGGCTCTAAGGTGCCCCCGGCGCGGAAGCTCCTCTGCATGTGCAGCCTCTCCCTCTGCCTCACCTACCTGTGCTACAGCCTCATGGGGGGCACCGGACCGGGCGCTCTGCGCTCCCCGGCCGCGCTCCCTGGCACGGCGACCCCGCGGTCCCCGGCCGCGCTCCCTGGCACGGCTCTCCCCGGGCCCCCGCGCTCCCCGGCCGGCTTCCTGGGAGGCTCCTTCGCTCCGGACCCCTCGGCGGCCCCGGCGCGGGCCGGCAACAGCAGCCAGGAGCGGGCGGCGGGGCCCTGGCCGCGGACGTCGCTGGCCCCCGGGGAGGTGATCACGGCGCAGAGCGGAGCCTTCGAGAGGGACCCGCAGGAGTCGAGCACCACGGACGAGGAGCTGAGCCGGGCTGGCAGCCCGGGGAGCCGCGGCGGCAGCAGCAGCAGCAGCAGCACCACGCCGGACTACGGGGAGAAGAGGCTGCCGCAAGCTCTCATCATCGGAGTGAAGAAGGGGGGGACGCGGGCGCTGCTGGAGGCCATCCGGGCGCACCCCGACGTGCGCGCTGTGGGCACCGAGCCCCACTTCTTCGACAGGAACTACGAGAAGGGGCTGGAGTGGTACAGGTGAGGGCGCGGGAGCTGCGGGGCCGCGCGGGGTGTCCGTGCGCAGGCGGTCCTGGGGGTGCAGTGCTCGGGGGATGCCCGGTTCTCCCCCAGGCTGGCCCCGGTGGGTGGCTGGCGATGGGGCCCGGGACTGGTGCGTGGGTCCGCGGGGACGCGGCGGGAGCGGAGCCGGGGCAGGCCGGGCTCTCGCGCGGACCCCTCGGCTGGTCGCGGTGTTGATTTGGAATGCGGCGTTCTCATGGGAGGGCAGAAAATGTGCGGAACACCCTCCTCTAAGTGCCGTGCCCGGAGAGCTCGGGCAGACCCTGGCAGTGCCGCTGCACTTGGTCTAAATGGGTCAGTGATAAATAATTACTGAAATAAACAAGATCGCGAGTGGCTCGGTGATGGATGGTCGGGGCTCCGAGTGCAGGAGGACGCCTGCCTTCATAGAAGCTGCAGGGCTCGCTTCACAAATGAGATTTACTCTTTTATTCAACAAGTTCCGCGTCAGAAAGTTTTTTTTTTTCCATTGACAAGATCTGATATTACCCGTGAAGAAGCCTCTACGTGTTCTTGTCTGACACAGGGCAATGTTTTAAGGGAATCTTCTGCTAAAAGCCCTGATTGTTAGAAAACAGCGGGCTGCAGTAATGAAGTGTTAAGTGCCTTGGCAGGTTTAGCAAATCAATGAACTCAGGGCTCGGGCTTCCTCTCTGGCTTTTAAAAACGCAGGGCATCCGTGGAACCTGCAACTTACCAGCAGTTTACGGTTAAAAGCAATCCATACTAGCTTCTTTGTAAGAAACAGTATATGGCTCGGCTGGTGAAGTTCTTTTTGCTGCACTTAGTGTGGTATTTGCTCTGAAATGAAGGGAAAATAAATAGAGGCAGCAAGTTAGTTACTGCTTGAATTATCTGGTCACTCTTTATCAAATAGACTACGCAGTCTTCATGTCAATGGCATTTAAATGTGAGGAACTCCAGGCAATTTTCTGTGGCAGTTGTGGAAGCAAAGTCTTCATAACGCTTATTTGCTCTAGCATCTGCTAGACTGTGTTGAAATGCTGAGGGATTTTTTGGGGGGGATTTCATCAGCAGACATCAGCCCTGAGAGTGTGTTTGTCTCCAGGAGTGTGCTCAGTGTGGTGTACCAGCATGGGGAAGGAATAAAGGACTGACTGTGCTGCTTGTTTTTATATATATCATTTCAGACACAGTATCTTATTTCACTGAATTTTCTTGCAGGAAAGGTTTGCCTTGAAAAATAAGTCTTAGAAACTTGCTGGAACAGGCTAGAAAGTAGCATATAAAAGGTTTGGGTTTATTCAAAATAGGCAGAAGATCAAGCACTGAGTATGGCAAGTAGCTGCCTTTTCATCTTCTAAGTCATGCTACAAGGAAAGGGCTGGAGAGTGGGTGTAACTCCTCTCGTGGAGTGAAAGGCACACAGAGGTTTTCCTTCGCAGATGCATTGTGAAATCTTTCCTCCCTGCAGCAGCAGCTCTGGGGTTTGTTCAGCTCATTTCCAGTATGGGCGCTGTGCTGTGCTGCTGGAGGGGCTGGGTCAGGGCTGGTCTGCGAGGATCCAGGGCACAAGAGGCTGGGGTGGATTCTCTGGCTGTGTATATTGACTGTATAGGCTGTATGATAGATTACGCTGCTGTGTATCTGCTGTTTTGCCTTGAGGATGTTCCCCGGTTGTTTCACCTGAAGCCATCTCCACACCGGCCCAACCCCAGCAGTGTTTTCCTCTCTCCTTGCACATGTCTGTCAGCCTCCCTGGGAAGTAACCAGGTCACCCTGCGCTGGTGGCTGCACCTCGGTGAGCGACAGGTTTCCCCCAGAGCCACACCGGGACCGGGCTGTTGCCCTGGCGCAGGAGGCGAGTGCGCTTGGTGCTGTACGTATACGATGGAGGGGGAAGGTGGCCATCCCCACTGGCTGCTCTTCCTTCCTGCCCTTCTGGAGCTCACCTGATTGAGCTCACCCAAGGCGGCTGCTTCCAGCTGCAGCCCAGGACTGGTAATTGGAGATGTTTCCTATCCACAAAAATACCGATTTTCTTTAAGCAAAGAAGCAACTCTTGACGTGTTTATACCAGCATCTCCTTACAGCCACCTCTACTGCTTGTTTATGTTTTGCATATAACACTTCTCTGTACGCCTTATAAACTGTTAGCTTTTAATGCTGTCAGGTTTTCCCTTATGTAGCAAAATAAGGGAAGAGCAGGCCCTTGGAGTTCCTCGTTTTGTCATTCAGTCCTGAGGATGTCTTCTGCTCCGGCAGAGCCGTAGGGAAGAGAAACAGTTTTCCCAGCTTGGTTTCTCTGACTGTAAAATGAAGACAGCACCCAAACACTACCATGTCCTCTCATGTGTCCCATGCTGTGTGCTGTGGGTTTGCTGTCTTGGGACAGTCAGCTATGAGCCCAGTGCCTGGGTCTGTGTGGGGACAGTAGTCAGAGGCTGAAGTTGTGGTGCAAGCAGAGCCCCAGTGCCAGCTCCCCACAGCCTGTGCTGCTTTCCCAGTATCCTTTAGGGAAAGCTGTGCTCTGGCTCTGCAGTCAGGGTTTATGTGGGAATTAGCTACCTGAGGTCTTCCTGCACATGTATTTATGCGCAGTGGGTCGAAGGCTTGTTTCAGTCGGTTGGTGTTGTGCTTCCAGAATCATTTGTGTAATTGTAATTTGTGATTCTGCACATCCTGGTGTTGGGCTGTCTGAAGGACAAGTGCAATGATGCCGCTTGCCTTAAACTGCACTTAATACCCCCGTGTACATTAACTCTTGTTGATAAATTTCCTAGCGTGTCTATTTAATGCAGAATGTAAGCTGACTGCTGTTAAGCAGTGTGCTAAAGGCTGAGTGGGAAGAGACTTTTAACCTTTCCTTCTGTTAGCAGACTGGCGATGCTTCTCTCTGGTGTGTTACTGGCATAGCTTCATCGCTCTCTCAAGTTGGGGACATGGCTACCTAGCAGTAAATGTTATCTTTGATGATGAACTTTGCTGACTTCATCCCTTTCACTGTGCCAGGATGTGGTCCCACTGTGGATGAAGGTTGTGGCCAGGGGCCGGTACTGCCTTCCCTTTGGAAGTTGCTGGCTGCTCTTTCACCTGCTGGTTCCTTCTAAACCATGGGACACACGGTCCTTCCCTGCAGGAACTGTTGCTGATTTCCAGGCAGTGCCTGAGCACCCTCCTTCTCCCTCTTGTGCCCAGGGCAGCTCTTGGTGCCCACCTACCCCAGGCATGGGGTGACCCTCACATGCAGCAGGGCTGGACCAGAGCCTTTTGCACAGGGATATGCTCTCTCCAGTGTGATGCTCGTGCCTCAGTGGGCCTGTCCCACGCTGTGAACTCTGCCCCGAGCTGTTCTGCAGTTGGAAATGAATTGAGAGCCTTTCTGAGCAGAATGATGGGGGGACTTTGAGGCCTCTGAGCACGGAAGGAGTTAAGTTTGTATCTGTGAATATGAAAAGTGGTCGGTGCTTCAGACCTCAGGCTTCGGCATCTCGGAGCTCTCTGAGCTGAATAGAATAGCTCAATGCTCCAAGTCCACTGCTCCCACCACAGGCTCAGCACCCTGTGGTGGTTCAGTGCTGCCCACACTTTCAAGGTTTTTTTGCCATCCTGTGGTTAGCAGAAAACTGGAGATTTGTAACAGTATTTTGAAAACAAATTTGCGGTTTTAACAAAAACATAATCCACACAATGAAAAGAGAGCAACTGCTAGCGGTGGACTGAAATTGTGGAGCTCTAAAGCTCACTGATTTGAGGATTATTCCAAATAATCAGGAGTTCAATTCTACGTGTACCTGCACACTGCTTTACTCCTTGTTTCCCTGTCGGTGGAGCCTTCACAGAGAAGCTGCAGCAATGTCTGTAATGAGACCTCTTGCTCTGCCCTAGGCCTCCGTGTGTTAAGCACTTACACAGGGGCATAGCTTTCTGCGTGGCGCAGCCCCATCGCAGGCGCTGCAGGAGCAGTCACCATGACAGGCAATGAAGTGGTTTGCATGTCTAACGCTGTTTTTGCCGCCTGTCTGGGTTTTTTGGAGCGCTCTCGCCAACCGTCAGGCCTGCGCGTTGTGCTGTGAGCTGCTGCCCTCATACAAATCATGGATAACACCATGACAGGGAGCTCTTCTCCTGCTGGCAAACACGTGCTCTCGAGCCAGAGGTTCCAAGGAGCAGCTGTGGCTGCGGAGCCAGTGCTCACACTTGTATCCCTGTGGGCACTATCGCCTGTGTTGGGAAGCGTCTGTCACACGCTGCTGCGATGAGCTCAGCTCCTGCACTGCCCTGGGGGCTGCGTGGTGGGACTGTCCCTGTGCACCGAGGCTGATCCTCCTCATGGCTATTGCTGTGTCTGAGGAGTGTGATGAGACCCCCCTGCAGCATCCCTTAACAGCTGTTGGACAGCAATAGCTTGGGGCCGGTTCAGCTGCGGTCCCACACGGTGTGACCCTCGCTGTGAGCAGTAATTGTGTGGCTGGGTAGTGCCTGTGCCTCTGATCTGCTCGGGGTATTCAGAAAATCAAACCCCTTCCATCGTGCTGTGAGGCTGTGCTGATGGGCACTACAGAACACCTGCAGCGGATGGATAGATCAGTGCTTGCTGCTAATGAGTGGCACCACTGCCGAAGGCTGGAAACTGCTGTATTTCTCTGCAAAAGTCCTTCCCAGAGTACAGTGCCCTCTGCACTCTGGTAACTTAGGGAAAGTGTATTGATTTTTTTTTTTTTTTTCCTGGGACCTGCTGTGAGTTGGCTTTTGCTGAAATGTAGTGACTCAGCTGCCCTCTCTCCTCTGGATCTAATGCATCAGGATTAATCTGGGTTGAAGACTGTACAAGACTGTACAGCTCTTTCAATACCTTGTCCCCTTGTGCCTGTCCTAAACCTTTAAGTCTGGGTTAGATCCCACGTGTGTGCTGGTTTTCCTAGCCCAAGTCTTCCATGACTTGGAAGCGCACACGCACACACCTACAGCACTGGCCTCCCGCTGGTGCTGAGGTC